AACTAAATTTAACGGCTGCTTAGACCTTTGAAAATGAAAAAGAATTGAATGCAACTGCGCTGGTTTGAAGAAAAAAAAAAGACCAAACGAATCTAACTAGAACCAATAAAATTCGGTTAGATGAGGTCTCTGTTCAGAACGCGATCTAAAATATTGATGATATCTGTGTTTTACCATCTTTCTAAATAAGAATCACATGGAGTAGACACGAACACGTCTTTTCAAGAAGAGTATAACAAAGAAAAACAACTGTTATTTTGTTCGAAATAATAGCATTTATGAAGAATTTCAAAAGTAGAATATTTGTTTTCTATAAAAAACATAAAGGACGAGGGCGGATAAGGCCGTTTTGCGGCTCCCCTCAGAACTCATTTATTTCTATCGAGCTTTAATAAGCATTCGATCTTTGATCATATTTTTCAACTTTATTCCCAGAAAAATGACATTCATGATTTTGAGCCTTGGGGTCCTCCCCAGATATCATGAAAAAAAAACTTCGTTTTTCTCGAGTCAAAATCAAATGGAACTATCGATTCAAAGGTGCTGATTATGAAAATCGAAATGAAACTACTGAAAACATTGAAATTTCACCGAAAATACTTTCTTCTACCTGAAATTTTGAGCACTTCACGAATCTGAACTTTTTAGAACGCAAAAATGTGACCCATGAAAAGTAGATGGGGATTCTGGGGCAGAAATTAGCTCTTTTATGTATAGATCGATTTTTGTCCTAATAACTTCTCATGAAGCGAGCATTGCCGCAAGCTGAAATTTTGAGCTTAGAAATAACTTTGCAAGCTCTATCGACTGGTAACCTCGAAACAGAAGAAAGAGTTGTGCAACAGGGTCAACAGTTCGGATTATGACTTAAATTGACCTTTTTTACTGTATTTGTCTACATTCGACATCAAGTGACCCTTGCCGCAACGTCAAATTTTGCTCATAAGCGCAACTTTTTAAGCTCTGTCGATTGAGAACCTCGAAAGTAAGAGAAAAGTTGTGCAACAGTGTCAAAAATTGAAAATTCTGAAAAATGATGTAAAATGCCGTGCGGGCCACAGTCACTAGTATACATAAGATCTTGAAATCAACTGATATATAGCCAAGGGGGAAAAAGCAGATTTTGGCACCTAAAATCTTTGGAAATCTTGAAATCTGCTTTTCCCCCCTTGGAAATGGGGCTACTGTGGAACTGGATCAGCTTATTGTGGCGATGGTTGTCAAGCGGGTCCATGTACGAGACATGGCAACAGCGGAGGCAATCCAGGTAATCTTTTAAACAGCAATATATTTATCTATATGTATATATTATATTATGGTCATTATGAATAGCCTGCTGAAACGAGCACTTTACTTTAAAAAAATGGAACTGTCAATATTTTGACTGAGATTGATTTGCTTTCGAATTTAATGCGCATGTGTCCACGCTACATCAGTTCAGTAAACTCAGTGATAAACTGATATATCATATGAGTAGGCATTTTATTTTAAAAATAGCTCCTCAAACAGACCATATATCAATATATTTTTAAAAATTAGCACAACTTTATTTTCGAAAATGTTGATCTTTTTTTAGGGATAATGAGTGAAGAGATGACTGACACCTATATCGGTAGCCATACTCCACATCCTAAAGTTAGAATCTACAATTATTCTTAAATACTTCCAATTCCTCGAAGACGCCAGTAATGTTTGAAAAAACCTTCATAGAAGCAGTTAAAGGTTAATGTCTTCACCAAACTGTGATAACTTTGGAGCTTTTTTCACTAATACCGGTCCGTAAAAAACATAAACCAACTTTATTTCTGGCATATATTATTATCATCGTTAAAGGAGTGTTGAATAAGAAAATAAAAACGAAACATCAAACGATTTAGCAAACTCGAGTGATTCATCTTAGAGTCAGTGTGAATAGAACAATATGAATTCAATCTTTTCATAAGAATATATTTTTGAAGTAGCTATTTTCATTATACTTCATTAATGTATGAAACAAAACTAATCATTTCATTAAACGAGATACGATGAAAGAAAATAGAGATCAGAATGTTTCGAACGTACTATTTCAACATTATGGCTAAAATTAATGTTTCAACGTTGCACAATTGATCCAAGTTGTATTTTTTGTAAAATTTTTGTTGACACCTATTTAATGTTCATATTGACCATGAAGCTTGCTAAGACAGTGTAGACGTATATTCCAGTTGGAAAGAAATTATATAGCATAGTCAAATTTTCCAATAGTACAGCTAAGTTTGGCAAAATGAGAATATTTATTAATTAAGGATGATTCTTCAGGTTGGATATGGGTATGTGGACTTACTTTTAGGGAATGATTAGAATTCTGTACAAAAAAGAATCATTCGAGTCGACATTGATTTTTGAATGATGCTAATCATGATAGAACAAATAATCGGTTAGTTGTTGTGCGCATATCATCCTTAGCATCTGCTCTCGTTTTTTGGTATTGCTATTCTCTTTTATTATCCTTTCTATATGTGAATAGTGACTCATAAATAAATAGTTCAAAATATTTTTCGTCTTTGATCGATACATCATGGAATCCATTCTCTAGTTCTTCATTTTGGGAGTGCCTGTGATACTGAAACCAATAGTTCTAGGTGTCTGTTGTAGTCAATGGCATTCGCAAGTCGTGTGAGGATCAAGTTTGGTTCTATGGTTCGTGCTCAGGTACGATCAGCACTAAACGTGATTGTAAAACGTCAACGCTCAATTTGGCCCATACTAATATTTCAAAAACATGTACTTCGATCGATTTCTTTTGGTCATATCCTGTCAACAATTTAACGATGATTATCGANTGAAATCGAAAAAGAATATTCATCAAATCAAAATTGGCAGACGGATTAGTTTTAATGAGATTCTTTTTGTAAAATCGAAAAACTTACTTGTCTATTAATAAGAGTTCCAAGATCGGCAGTGTTTGATAAAATAGTATGAGTTAGAATACCATCAAGCTCATCTATTTCTAGTGTATCGACGTTGTAAGTCATTTGTAATAATGCTTTTAGTTCAGATTCAGTAATCAGAGTATCACCCGTAAGTGTCAGTTTTTTTAACAATGACTATGGAACAAATGACTGCATAGAATTTCTAGAATAGTCGATATCTCGAAGAGGAATCGTAAGTGTAAAACCACTAATGGATAATTCATTAGCTCTTGGAAATGAATCTGCTGGATTGATCAGCATATGAGAAGATCTAGATACAAAAAAAATACAAACATATTTCTATAGACCTCTTCAGATGGGTAAAATAGCTTCTACATACACTTGCATATGTTTGGAAAAAAAGTACGTTTCAAGCTTTGTACCATTATATGGCAATGTATATACGACAAACCCATGATCACGTTGATCAAGCATACAATAGTTGCATTCTTGAATAATCACCATCGGCCGTTCTCGACGGCAAAATGGAGCTTTTATAAATGAGTTAAGAATTTTTTTTCCTACTAAGTCATCTTCGACATGGAGTGATAAATCGAGAGCATAAGACACCGATGGTTTGAGACGATCGATACAGGCTTGTTGAATCATATCACCCGATATGAATAATAGATCAGATGTTGTTGTATATGCATCTATACTTAAAAATAGATGATTAAGTTGCCCAAATACAGATGATAAAAGTGCAGTTGTTCGGTGAAAACTTATGCCACCGATACATTTAACGGTAAGACGTGATAGATAATGACTATGACGAGCATCAACAGCCAAAGGCAACCTAAAAAATTTCATAAAACTAATACTTTTATAGATGATACGATATTTTCATTTAAAATCAAACTTTTCGTCGTCAATCACTTTTCTATCTTCCACCACAATAGAAAGATTTTGAATGAACGGTACACAAGCTAATAAACGTACGAGAAAATGTGATGTATTTACACCAAGGATCAATGTATGAAGATATACTGTATTCGAAAGATTTGGTAAACTCATGTGTGGCGGTGCTGAATATTTTTCTAATTGTTCATGACTCCTCCAACAATAATTAAATGGAAGTCCACAGATTTTTAGAGCAGGCAGACATGCACAAACCTTTTATAAAGATGAAGGAAAAACATCATGTGTTTTTTGTAGAAAAAATTCGAGTCAAACTTGCTTTCTTACTTTAGCCAGATATGCTCCTTCGACAACTTGATACTTGAATGGATTAGAATCTGTTACATCAACGATTAAAGTATGTAATTGTTTTATTAAACGATTAGATAATAATTTATCAAATTCATATGGTTGAATATCAATGAGATGAAGACGCCGAAGTAACATTGTTTGATGATATTTTAGCGATGATGATACGAGTGACCATCCACCAATAATGTGACTTAATGTGATGCGTTATGATACAATTCGATTTCCAACCAATTTTAAAATATTTTGACAAAGATCACCAAATGCCGACAGTGATATACTGTTATCGCCAATATGAATGTGCCACAAATATTTATGCATAACTATTGTCGAGAAACGTTTATTCAATGATGGAAACGAATAAAGAATATCAACAGGAGATAAATACGAAAAAATTTCAAAAAAAAAAGATCGTCAGACAGATATTCAAACATAGTCAATGTGGATTTATTCATGTATTTCATTTGTTTTGTTCTGTCAGTCTATATTTGTATATCGATATTAACAAGGACACATCACCATCTGCTTTGCTTGATGAACATTGTGTTCTTATAAATAATGTTATTCCTTCATTTTCTACCAATTAAAATCATTGGAAACAAAAAAAGGAAAACATACTTATAGGAGTCGTAAGAAGTGAACCAAGCATGTCAGCCTAAGTGATCCGTTGGCTGGTGCACGATGACTAAGCATTCATTTCTAAAAGTTATAAGATTTAACACGTCTATACATTAAGTAATACACAAAGGATACCGCCAGATAAGCTTAAAATTTTTTTTTCATCGGACATTTTTCTCACATAGCTAATGTGAAAGAGCATATTTTTTTAAAAAGGCCCGTGCACTTGCTTTGGGTTTTTATTCATATTTCTGTATAAAAAAATGGACCAGCTTTGAATCCCTATATGTCGATTTTTTAGTGACCAGGACTATTTCATTGTGCTATAGAAAAAGATCATACCATTTGTCGTTCAATATGTAGATTCTAATGGTTATACTTGTGGCCCCTACTCGTAAAAAATGGTGCTAGACAAGTTCTGTTTATTACTTCTTTCCGAGGAAATAAAGGTCTAGCCAAATTTCAAAAAAAATTCAGTGTTTTTAGGTTTAGTCCAGATCTATTATCTCCGTGTAAAAAAATAAGCGAGAACTGAAACTTTTTGTAAAACTTCCCACTTTTCTCCTCTACAAAATTCACTAAGTGTAAAAATTTTCAAAACAGTTCGATAACCACTTTTAGCGGCTATTTTCTCGTGATATCGCGTTTTTTTAGATTATATCAGAGTGCACAGCCAGGAAGGTGATGGATAACTAATGAAGTCGATGCCTTCGAGAAACTTGGTTCCTTCTATGTCAACATTTCGCATGAAGTGCCTGACGGTGATTTCTGGTGGATTCAATCCTATAGCACTTGCTCGTGTGGTGCCTCGGGACCGATTGAAATATTCAATGACTGTTTCATGTATACTGAAGTAAGCAGCTGATGATAAATAGTTTTTCTTTATCTATCAATTTGATAATCGATCAGGTTAGTTCTCATAACACTCGAGGATGTGGGTGTGGGTGTGGGTTGAATTGAGAATATCACACCCACATCCACACCCACACACCCTATCGATCTCCAGATCACCAGATGACAAACCGATTAGTTTATAGCAGTAGACTGTGTCAAGTCATTTAATTTGACCTAAATCTTCAATGTCTTCAGAACCCTCTGACACATTAATTTCTATTTATATAATTTATATGAAAATATATTATTCGAAGAAAAATTCAAAGAATTCAGTATTAAACTTACTTCGTTGATCACTTATCATAAAATTCTACTGTTTGTGGTTGATTTCAATTTAAATAAAAAAATATTTTTCTCATTATTTCGACATAAATAAATTAAATTTAGCGCAGTTTTTACTGTAGGACTCGTCTCTTACTAAAGACCTATTGTTAAAGACAAAGTTAAAACAATAATTAAGCTTACATTCAGGTATCCATTCTAATTAGCTTTTAAGTTTTATGTCAAACTAAAATGCATAAGATAGCTGAATACCGTGCTATGAATGTCATATCATAGGGAATATAAATCTTGCAAAGCTTTGAAGAAAAATCTTCTAAAATCCTACTCAAGCACTTCTATTCACTTTTACGGAGATACAAATGAATAATAGAATAAGATTTCAGTAAACTCTTGAACTCCTAGATGCATGTCAGAGTGGAAACAAAACAAGTCAAACTCTATGTGACTTTTCAACTCGCTGCTGTTGATATTTTAATTCAGATGCACTTTGTAATTTTTTGCGATTACAAGATTCGAAAATAATCAAAAAGAATATCAAATAGGAACTGGTAAACATTTTGTTGAAACGATTTCATACGGTTTTGTAGAATCATGCACAAAATCTATCATAACTCTTGTTAGAATCCTTAAGCTGAAGTTTTTAGCATATTCAAGATGAAAACTGTAAAAATATTTGTTTAGTCTAGATATTTTTCAGAAAGATTCTAAAGGTCCTTGGTTTTCATTAGGAAGGATCTGAAATGCTCGTCTCTAAAGAGATTTCAAGAGAATCCTGGAGGCGCTCATAACAGATAGTTGTAGTAGGAATGCGTAAGAAAATCAGATAGAATTACGCTTGACCCTTGGCAGAATCCACTAGTCGATAACTTTTCACTGCTGTTATATTATTCTCTGTAGGAACTTTGCTTGCTTCAGCTATAAACTCTGAGAGGATAATAGAACAGTGAATCGGAATGAATTCTAGTAAAACATTGATAAAGTCTAATCCTCATTCTTTCAGTAGTTCATGTAGAAGTCTGAACGAGATCGACAGTGAATGCTAGTAGAATCCTTCATTATTAAATCATACAAAGTCTGAGCAGAAGTTTGAAAAGATGCTGAGAAGAGTCCTGTATTTAGCGAAATCTCCTGCAATCTATTATTAAAATTCGAAGAAAAAAACTAAATAAAACATGACCGGAATATTAAGCTTCAGAATCCAGAGAGGTTTTTTCAGATTTTCTAAAGGAGAAACAAGGCTATGACTATAGTACCCTTTTGCCTTAACGCCTGACGCTCTTAGGCTAACGGATAAAAAGCAAGTCCTAAAGTCATTACAGATTTTCGAATAGATTTATCAAAGTATGGCTATAGTTGTGACACAATAGATTAATCGACTAGGGTGCAAAAGAATCCATTGCAATCTATCAGAGACAATCAGAATGAAGCAAAAACCACTAGGCATTATAATAATGAAATTGATAGACGAAACGTAGATTCGGATAGGTCCAAAAAACGCCCAAAGTCCATCATAAAATGACGAAAGTTACAGAGAAATATGAGTGTCACAGAGTCCTGGATCTACTTTTTTCTTCTAAGCTACACAATCCGGAACCACAGATCCTTTTTTCACTCAGTTTCGTTGAATCCTAATGAACTGTTACAGTCATTTAAGTCAGCTTCTTCCACCCTCTATGGGGATGCTTCAAACACTTAGCTCTAAAGTTTTTCAGGTTTAAAGGGAATCCATTAGGATCCACCAGGATCCGTTTTTCCCCCTTGTATCGAAGTAAGTCGGTATCAAATTCAACTCCGTTTTTGTTCGACTCTGACTGTTTTTGATATTTATTGATCTTGACAAGACGCCGTTGAAATCTCCAAAATCCATCAGTTTATACAGTAAATATCACACAATAAAATCTTCAACTAATAAAAGTTTCTCTGCTAAATTTGAAATCTTTGGCAAAAGAAAATGAGTTGACTGAAACAACGATTCCGCGATTAACTCCATGTGAGGCTCTGCTCACTACATATATTAAGAATGAGTTTCATAACATAAAATTGGCTTATATTTTGCCTACAAGATTTGAAAGGTGAGCCGCGTAAAAAGAAAATACCATTTATAAAGAAATATTTCAGTGTCATTTTAAATAAAATAATTTTCGTCATCATCACTTGTCGATTGCTTGGACATAGTACATGTCGAATACTTTCTAGTTATTGTTTTTTATTTTCACTACACAACAAGTAAAAAAGAAATTCAAAATTAATCTTTAATGATTTTTCAGACTTTCTCTCATTTCTCTGTTTGTTTATCGATCCGTGTAGATTCAAAATTAAATAGTAAAATACAATAGAGGTCGTGTATTTTTCGATAAACAAATTTCGGACTTTTTTGGAGTTTTAAGGAGTTAGAATCGGAGTCGAAGTCGGATTTCTGAATAAAAAAAATGGACTTGGCAGGTCTATAAACTTCACCCAGCAAATTCAAGATATTAATTACTATCCTACAAATATACGCGCACATGTGTCACACTTCACCGAGTATCATCATATTCTCGTCCGTATTTTCTTTCTTTCTTTCTTTTTTATTTTATCTCTATCCGAAGTAAATTTGATTCCTAGAGTATGAATCATATTTAGTATAATTATATTGCTGCATAAGAATAAAAGTGTATTTGCAAATATAGAAATATATTTAAAAATTGCAATCATAAAATCACATATGTAATACAGTATATTTGAATAGTACCTGCGAAATTAATACAGAAAGAAAGGGTGTTAAGAAATTTTTCTTTCAATATCGACACATAAAAAAATTCGTGAAGAGCAAAAGCAATGCCGATCAAGCGATCAAAATCTTTTCTCGACATCTAGAGAACGAACAAAAAAGCAACAACAAATAGACAATTAAATTAGACAAAGCTACGTTCTTTCTTTGACAATTCTAACGAAATAATAATAGTGTCTCTGGATTGGTATCTAGATATATATATACACGTAGAAAATAGTTACTCTTCTTTGCTAATTCTTTTTATACTTCTTTACTTAAACGCCTGTGTCTTTTCACTTGCTTGCTCTCTCTTTTCTCATTCTCTACGCATTTACATACTGATTCGTTTTTATCGTTCGTTCGTTCGTTGTGTTGGAAAGATATTTCTATAAATATCTCTCGCGTTGGCGCATTATGCTGATACACAAGAAATTAAAAAAAAATGGATAGGCTATCTCTGTCTCTTCGTTTGACTGCTTATTGACTGTGCGTATACACTATACCGTCATCACTAACAATCAGAAATAAAACAAAGGTAACAACCTATCGACATTACTTGTTTAACAACACAGAACAAAAAGACAGTGTATCATACACATATGAAGTATCTTATTATTAGTACCATACATTGCGAGTAGAAAAGATTATTCTGCCTGTTATGCAGACGCTTAGAAAGTTTATATCATCAAAATTAAGTCAAAGATCAAAACATAACGATAAAGATAGCGGTAAATATAAAGGCGAAGATGAATCATTGTTATCAGCGATAGCAACAAATGCAGCATTAGACAATGCTCAATCAGCTGAAAAAGGTATTCAATATTTTATAATTTACTTTTTGTTTTATTTTAATACTTGCGTTTTTGACAGATACACAAAACTATTAGATATACGTTGTCATCAATAGATCAAACATGATATTTTATCTATGTGCTTTGAGATCTACATGTTTCGTTTTATTCTCTCTTTGTCTACACATACGTACTCGTGACCGTTTGATAATGTCTAAAAGCAAAGAGTTTTAATGAAAAGTAAAAGTTGCCATCCATCGGAAATCACTGCAAGTATGCAAATGCATGTGACAACATTTGTGTTTGCCTCGTGAATACAATCATTTTTCATCTGCGCAGAAAAAAAGGAAATAAAAAGAAAAGAGAAAAAATTAAAATTAAAAAGAAACCAAATATAATGGTGACGAGTACACGTAGAAATCGATTATGAATGTAATATGTAACAGTTGTATGTTTGGTGACAAAGTTTCATGTTATTGTCCACAACTATAGCATATTGATGAGTCTAAAATAGTTTCCTTTTTCTCTCTCTCTCCAATTCGTTTCCAATTGTGTGAGTTTTTGTAGTAAATTCTATACTTCTTCTGTGGTCAGTTTACTAAATATAACTAGAAAAAAATCGCATCATGAAAGGAAAAGAAAAGAGAAAGAAAAGACTGAGTATTGTTATGACATCGTTACTAGTACTTGTTGTGGTCCTTATTATTACCATCATCATCGATTCTCTCAAAACTTCTGGTATGCTGTTGAGAAAGACATGATAGTAATAAGACAGACAGAACAAACATACAGCAAATAACTTGCTCGCATACTGACGATGCACATTCATCTTTATACTGTTTCTCATATTAGAAGTCAATTATCATCAAAGATATATTCTAATTTACAAACGATTATGATCTCAAAATAACTATATTATTATAAAATTTAAACAGATCAATGATGACTCAATGTATCTACATCAATAGAATCATCTAAATTGGTTTGATTGGGTTTCTAGTTGTCAACAGAAAACAATAATAGAATATGCAACTTGATATAAAAGAATAAAAAAAAGATGTCTAGCTCAAATGAAAACATATCTATTATTCAAAAGAAAAAGTGTGTACAATTCTTCATGTTTAACAATTTACACTAAGCTGTTTTTGTCATAACTAACTCAAGGACCATGATTTATTATTAGGAAATAATTTGTTGTTTTTTTCTTTATTATTTTATTTTAGTGAAAGCATTTCTAGCTAAAGCTAAAGATGAATTTCAAGTTAAATACGACAAATCAAACCAGGTAACATGCTCTCTAAATACAAACCTAAAGTAGAAAGAAATTTTAGTTGAAAAATAAAAAAATTATAATGCCTGTCGATTTTGATGACTGAATTAGCGAGTAGCATACAAAGAAAAAGAGAAGAAAAAAAAATTTGTTTTTTTTTCCTTCTCTTCACTACGCATCATCAACATTGTATTCAGTTGTGTTATACTTAGTTCTTGTTTATTTTTCATATTTTCTTTTACAAAAAGACAATCTATCGTGATAATTTTCATTCAAAACAAATATAAAATCAATACGAATATGAATTTGAATAAATTATGAAATGTCAATACAGATAAAAATTATTAGATTATGAAAAGTAGACTATTTTTTTTACTGAATTTCTGTTCTAAAAAAGTCCATATGGAATGAAAAAATATTACAAAGTATCTGTCATACTTATCAACATTACTCCTTCCATCAGAATTTCAATTAATTGTTTTGCTTATGGATAGTATATAATGGTCTAGTAAAAACTTAAAAAGCTTGTGAGTTCCTATTGATATCCTATTTATGAATTTTTGTGTTGAAATGAAGTCCATTTGATGGTTTTATAATATGAAGATTTTCAGACTTTAAAACTCTCATGATGGTTCGAAGATACGAAACATTCAAGTGCAAGAAAGAAAAATCATTGAAATCGGAATGAGACATGAGAAAATTCCTTCCTAAAACAAATTTAACAATTGATATCTCTTCAAATCAAACGAAAATATACGAGAATTTTTGATTGCTGCAAAGCAATTTCATTAGAATTTAAACTAGAGTACTGTTCAAGACGATTACATATGCAGACTAGAGGCTATGTGACTACTTCATTATATAGAGAACTCTTAGTTAGTATATGAATATTGTTGACATAATTACGTTAGAAAACGCAGCATTCATTTTTGTCCTAAAGCATAAATTTTGTGTGTAACCAAGAATTAGTTATGCTAATGAGAGTTTGCTAAAATTATAATATCTAGTTAGGCTTTCTGTTGTTAATAATTTTCATTGTAATTAAGAATACTGCCAAACTCGAAGATTTCCAGCGTATACGAACGGTCGGAAAGGGTAGAATACTACAATATGAAATTACAAATTAATGATTTAATCTTTTGATTGCAAGGTTCATTCGGACGTGTTATGCTTGTTAAGCATGTATCCAATGGAACTTTCTATGCAATGAAAATTCTTGAAAAACAACAAGTAATATTATATTTAAAAAGCTTTTAAAAAACAAGCTTCTTTTTTTTATTAAGATTTTTAAATTACGACAAATTGAACATACTCTCAATGAAAAACGTATTCTTCAAGCTATTTCTTTTCCTTTTATTGTCAATTTGAATTATCATTTCAAAGTAGAAAATTTCGAAGTGAAATTGTTTTTTGAATAATTTTTTCTATTCAAAGGACAATTCCTATTTATATATGGTTTTGGAATTTATACCCGGTGGTAACATGTTTAGTGTTTTACGTAAAGTCGGTCGATTTACGTAAATCATTAAAATAAAATTTTTATTACAATTTCTAATTAATTATTTATATATGTATATAGTGAACAACATGCTCGGTTTTATGCAGCTCAAATTGTATTAACGTTTGAATATCTTCATTATTTAGGTATAATTTATCGAGATCTTAAAGTAGGAAAACAAATGAATAACGTTTTTAAAAAAAATTCTACAATTTTAGCCTGAAGATTTATTAATCGATACTAATGGTTACTTAAAAGTAACTGATTTCAGTTTTGCCAAAAGACTCACAGGTATTAAATTATTTTAACAATCTATATCAATGTCAAACTTAAAACTACTCAGGAAGAATAGCATCTCTTGACTATTGACAGTAATCAATAAGCCAGGAAATACTAACTCATATATAATTGAATAAGATTTAGTAACTCATAAAAGAGATCTTGGCTTTTTTCAAAAAACAGCTTGAATTAATAATCTATGGAATGAGTTATTGGTCTGTGTAGGTAGATTTCAATGGGAGTGTTTCCTTGTATGATAGATTAAGTTAACTGTATTGATTGATGTCAAACCAATCAAATAGTTGTATAAGAACAAATAAGCATTCAAAGGATTCGTATCAAGTAGTTGCTAAACTTTATCGAACTTTTCATGCAAAGTTGTCATTTGATTCCATGTTTTTATTACTGAAAGATGGATTTCGTAAGCAAATACTGTTCTTCATTTATTTCAATTCTTAATAGAATACTTTTAAATTTCTTGCCGATATTTATTCACTCATATCATTTGTATGATGATTATCTCGATTGAAGATATTTTAAATCGATCGACCTATCATTATCCATAGAATAAAAATATTCCAAACAATGATGTATTTCACGCCATTTTAATGAAATTTTTCCTTCAGAGAAATGATTCACGAAATAAAATAAAAATGGCATTTCTGATTATGAAATGGACAACAAACTGCATATTTTTCAAAGTTATTGAAGATTTTCAAAATTTTTATTGATGAAAATAATCAATTCTACATTATGTTGTTTATGCCATGACAGTCACTAATATTACATGAAACTCATGGCGTTAAAAATATTAAACTTTCGTCAAAGTCTTCTTATGAAAACAAACTATGGTTTGATGATTGCGTAGCCTTTTCTTCACTTGAACTTTTTTGAAAGCTCAGGTGACTTGTCTTTCAAGTGGTTGTGCAGCGAACTTTCGAAAACTTCAATTTAGTCTGTACCCACTGAAAAAGTAGCAAAGATTGTGGTATTGAACTTAACAATCTATGGTGCAGAAAAACAGTACACGATGCCTTTCTTGTTCTTATGCATTCTATTTTTGTAAAACCGATACGTGTAAGGACAAATTTATATATAAACTGAAATGAATCATTTTTCACCACGTTTCTCTGAAAAAAAATTGGTGTTTCATCACATACTTGACATTCATTTCATCGTTCAAAAGACTTTGCAATTAAAAACAAAGAATGGGAAATTAACTCATCTAGAGCCTTGTAAAAAACTTGATGATTCAACTAAAATCTCAATGATTCTAATTGAATAACTTTGGTTTTTTTTATTAAAAAAATGCGACTTCTAAACTGAGTTGATGAAAAAGTAATGAAACTAATATAATGATTTTGATGCTTTAGAAATAGTCTATGTCATGAAAGAAAGATAATGAAAGTAGCGGAATAGTTTTGATTTTTTCGGTAAAATGAAATTCATGGAGTGAAAATAGTGCAGAATTAATGAAAGTAATCAAATAGTTTTGATTTTTTCACAACAACCAAATTCATCAAATTTTTTTTGTGAAAACTCTGAAAATAACCATTTGAACGAAATTTTTTTCACTTTTTTTTTATCTATAGGTATCGAATTGAAAGATCCAAACTATTAAACTATAATGCTTAAGTCTTAGTACAGAATATTTGCTCATTTTTCAGGCACTTAACTGATTAGTCTCTAGGGTAAAATTGAACAATTATCATGCTAAAAAGTTCAAAATGCGAAATAGATTTTAAGGGGCTGATTCGGCTTACTCGAATTTTGCCAGCAAATCTCTGGACTCTCGTCAATTGGCGAATGTTCACTGCACTTTCTTTAGTGTATGAGCATCATATGTAAGTCAAATTGACAGTAATATAAAGAACATATATTTGTATTATATAAAAATAAAGAAGAAAAAGATGGTGCTTTTCAGAATTCAAACAACCCATCTGCTTATATTAGATAGATGCTTCAGGTCAGTTATACTAGAAGAACATCTTAATTTCAGAACAGCATTGAAGTGTATCATCACCGACACTAATAGAGGACCGATTACCCGTAGATTACAAACAACTCTATCGGTCACATTGATAACTCAAAGCAATAAGATATTTTCTGATACCCTTAGTCCTCACATGTATCCTACATCGATATTCTTCTATGACGATTGGCGAGAGTCCACTGTACTTTCGCCATTGACGAATGTCCAGTTAGTGAAATTCGCAAATCCTGCTCATTTTTGTAACTGAGCTATTTACTAAAATATTGATGTCCATAGAATAGAAATTAGTTCGTCAGTGTGAACACATAATTATATGAGATGTCGGTTATTGTAATATCTGAATACAGTGCTGCACAAAAATAATGACTTATAGCAGTTCTAAAACACAAAATATAGGGTGCGACAAAAACTCTACTTTGCTTTGTATAGACAGATTTTTTCACTTTTTCATAACAACTACTAATTGTTGTTTAATCATACTCGGAAAGAAAATCTGAACATATATTCTAAAATAACGAAAAATTTTGCTTCTAACCAGTTGTTTATCAACGGCTGAAAAATAAGTGAATACCTTGGGCTAAAACTTTAGTGCTATAGGATAATTTATTCTTTCAATATTGGAATATGATTTTGAAAGAATAATAAACACACTAGTATGTCAAACTGAAATCTGGGCCATAATACGATATAGTGGAGATGAGTTAGACTTCAAAAGAGAAAAAAAAACACGAACAGTTCCCACTACTGGTACGTAATCAAAGATCGGTTGACTAACAATATTTTTCTCTCAACAAAATATTATAATCAACGTCATTCTGGTGATGACATAGGCCTATATTTCTTTTTCAATTACATACATAACAGCTTCATACTATCTTTGATTGTAGTATGAAATATGTTATGAGAATTTCATTTCGTATATCCTTTCAATTCTAGGTCGAACCTGGACATTATGCGGTACACCAGGTATAAAATAAAGAACAAATTTTAAATATTAAATAGTAAAATACTTGGTATTTAATAGAATATTTGGCACCAGAAATAATTTTAGTACGAGGATGTAATAAAGCAGTTGATTGGTGGACACTAGGTGTATTAATATATGAAATGTCGAGTGTAAGTTTAAGATATTTATTTACTAAAACAAAGAACTACAATGTTTTTTATTACTTAGGGCTATCCACCATTTTTTGCCGATCAACTAATTGAACTTTATGGAAAAATTGTATCAGGAAAAGTAAGAAGACTTAATAAATTTAAATACATATTTGAATAGAAATAAAATTTCAGATCCAATTTCCATCACATTTTAGTAGTGATTTAAAAGATCTATTACACCATCTTCTTCAAATTGATGCAGAAAAACGTTATGGAAATTTAGCAAATGGTGTTGATGATATTCAAACTCATCAATGGTTTTCAGCTACGAATTGGATTGGTATATATCAACGACAGGTAGAAGCACCGTTTGTACCGAAAACAAAAGGACCCGGTTTGTTGAATTGAAAAGTTTCTTTATTTATGTATTTCTTTTGTTTTATTTAGGTGATGCAAGTAATTTTAAGGAATATGAAGAAGAACCACGTAAGAAAATTTAAAAATTCAATGTTACTCTTTTTTTTATTCTTATGATTTACAATTTGATTTTAGTTTGTATTGCAACAACGGACACACTCAGCAAAGAATTTGAAGAATTCTAAATAAATTTCAATAACTGAAATAAACAATAATAATTGTCAACTAAACTTTTCTTTGTCTTTTTTTAACTTATATTAATAGCTGTGTGTTTCTTTTTTGCAGCATTATCTCTTTTCACATAAACATCTGTGTTATCACGTGTTTTCTTCTCTCTTCTTCTTTCGAAAGATCAGAACACATGACTTTCTTACCCATAAAATAACGTGAAACTAATATTGAGTTAGAAATTGAAGAAATCTGATCAGTTGATTGTGATATGGAAACAAAACTAAGAATGTTACTGAAGACTTCTTCTTGTGCTATAATGTCAAGTCGTTGATTATTGATACCCAGAAAAGAATGAAGAACATCAATATTGGCAAATTTCTTCAAAATGAGAAATATTATTTCATTAGGTAGATCGAGAAGATGAACATTATGCTGATTCATTTTTGACTGTGATTGTAATGCTTTGTCGTAAGACGATATGTATGGATACTTATTTATTCATTCTTTGCTTATAAGCTCTCTTCTCATTGAAGAAAAAAAAAAAAGGTTGACCTAGTTGAACGAAAAAAATTTAATATTGATGTATAGTTGAGGATGTGCATAGATAAATGCTGCTGTTTTTCTCAACATTCATTTCTACGTTCATGTGCTCGCTGTGGCGTCTGTTATCACAAAGAAATAGAAAAAGACGTCTATTTAAGAGAAGAAAAAACAAAATATCTAACTATTTTGAATATATAGATCGCTTTGTAAAAAATAATTAAAGTATTCTCTTAATTATCTGAATTAGTCAAGATTATTTTCAAATAATTACATATATCGAGTTCAACATTATTAGGAATCCAATAGGCTCACACATACGTCAAAGTGAATTAAGAAACATGATCGGCATTTCTACGTAACGACAACAATTAAATTGGTAAATTTGCTTTCAATTAAGTCAGTCTGTCTGCGACCTTAATATTATTGAATATTAAGTTTTCTTTCAATTAGTATCATCGAATACAGACATAAGAAAAGTTAGCACCAGATTCGTGAATTTTCTGTCCGGATTCGCTAACTACGTTGCGCTGTGTGTAGAATTTTAGTCTCTATCGAATGGTATCATTTTCAATGGGGGTCATCAAGCAAAAACTAGGGTTTACTCAAAAAATACTCACTTTTCCCCTGTGTACTTAAATTATAAAAAACAATGTTTCCTTTTCGGATTCGCTCCAGAACCTGTGCTGACCCTTAAATTAACTGTGCTAGATGCAGAATTTTATTTTCTATCTATTGGTATCATTTTCGAGTACAGTCATCGGCCGAAAGCGTACACTTTCTCTCCAACTATCCCCTCCGAAAATGATACCAATCGATCGAGAATAAAATTCTGCACACAGTACAACAGATTAGAAGCCCAGCACAGCGTAGTTAGCGAATCTGGCGCTAACTTTTCTTACGTAAGCATTTCGTGTATCACCGTAGATGAATTACCATTCTCAAATGGAATGAGAGTAGCTTGATAATGCCCTATGTACAAACATCGATGAGTCACTCGTAACCATTCTAGTCATATGAGACCAATAACAGGTGCTCAAATGTTTGTTATGTCAATTTCACAATTAACTACGGTTGATGTTGTATGTCAATCAGAAATTCTATTCGACCATAATCTAGTTCACAAGCACAAAAAGCACCAACTTGTACACGTACGGCAAGAAATATTCCACCTAGCGTAAGTATTAAATTTTTAAAAAAATTCAAGAGGATTGAAAGAAAAGTGATTTTGTTATTTTGGAGAATCCAAGTAGATTTTCAAACTCAATTATACTTATTGAACACAAACAAATGTTAGGTGAATCTGTACTTTGTATTGCATCAGTAAATGCAACTAGAATTAACTAGTATGCTTCTTGACATCAATAATACTGAACTACTTCATGTGCTTCAATCACTTAAAACTCATGAAAACAAATATTGCACACAAACAGTGTCTCAATGCAGTTTTTTGGAGAAAAAAAGCTATATTCGCGTCTGTAGGCACTAAAAATACTATTTGAACGTGTTTGTGAGAGAACTCGTTTTCCTCTCCAATTAACATTATCTAAAGTATCGCCTGAATGCGTTTACTTTTTTTTACGTTTGGGTACGTTTTCTTATCGTGAATTTGAACGCCTATTCTTACCTTTTTCTACTATGAAATTCGGCTTTTTTACAGACTTGTAAGAACACTGTTTATCTAATGTGTTTTCTCTTGGAAAAATAAGTTGTTTCTCATATAAGTAAAATAAATATCAGAATTAGTATTTTGAGTAAAAAGGCTGTGTCACGAAATAAGTTTGTTCTCAGTGACATCTATGTCAGAATACAACAAATATTGAAAAAGGTCTGTTTTACTCGTTCCGACTTCCTCCTCAATTCAATTTTTGAAATTGTCGATTTACAGACTTCGCTGTCAAAGAGTTAAACTATAAAGCTTTCTTATTCCATATTTGGATCCCTCTATCATTTGTATTATTCCGATTGGCTATTGTCCATTTGTCCAATAGAACATCTCTCTATTGATATACCATTCTTTGTTTTCTAAGTTCAATCTTATGGTCTCTTCTGTCTTTTTTAAGATTGTAAAAAATGACTAACGAAAGTGAACGTTTTGAAATTGAACGTATCGTTGATAAAAGGTATCGAAATGATCGATTAGAATATCTTATTAAATGGCGGGGTTATCCAGACAGTCAAAATACATGGGAACCTTGTAAGTAATCGAAAAGTTATTAAGAATATTTATATAATAAGTCAAAAAGAAAACAAAAACTAACACTTCCGAGAAATGCAGATTCGGGCATATGTAGTCCATGAAACTTATCTTTCTTTGATTTGTGATTACTTTATTTCTATAGTTACATATTTTTAGCTAATAATATCGAAGGTGAACAAGAATCAGAATTACTTGCTGAATATGAAACACATAATAAACAACAACAAAAAATACTTAATTCTGGATCACGATCTGCAATAAATACATTATCGCCAAATAAGCATAGAAATGTATTTTAACGTATAACAGTAAAAACAGAAATTCATATTTTAATTATATATACATTTAGGATGAAGTCATAAATAATGCAATGAAAAAACGGCCATTTGGAAGTAGTGGTTTACAATCATTAAATACATCGAATGGTTTTGATCGAGGATTTGAAGCTGAAAAAGTTTTAGGTGCGACGGATTCTGCTGGTGAACTTATGTTGTTAGTAAAATGGCGTCATTCCGATGAAGCTGATCTTGTTCCAGCACGGATTGTTAATGTTAAATGTCCTAGACTTGTTATTGAATTTTATGAACAACATTCATTTTGGGTTCGATTACCAAAAATAAATCAAAATGCTGCTTCTACGATACGATAGATTTCATTTGTCATTTATTGTTTTTTTTCTTCTTTATGTTGTACATTTCATGTTTTGTACTCGATACCAAGAAACAAAAGTAAATCATATTGATCATTGCTTTATAAAAGTGTCAATCTTTTTGGTTCGTTGTTATATATTGATGAATGATTGTTAGGCTTTGAGTCGTATAAAAAAGTCTGTTTTGGCCTGGTTTTCTAGTCTTCATTCATTGAGTGATAAATGTTTTACTCGACTTTTTTCCATAGATAGCCTTTATAGTTCCTAGAATAAGATACAGCAGTCGCAATAAGCAACTCGAGATCAATAGGTTTTGATGAAAAGAATTTGCGATTAAAACACTTTTTTTCCTAGATCCTAAAAAAAGTCTTTTTACTATTACCTCTATTTTCTTATTAATAAATAAAGATTCACGTGTCTATATTGTTTCATAGATAAGGTACTCCAATCCGTTGTAATCTCGAGATGTAGCGACGGGTTTAAAACTAGACAGAAATATTGGATTATTTTTCGATGATTTCCACTAACTCTTATGTGGGAACTATCCAAAGAATACTCCATAAATCAGGCAAACTAAAACTGTTTGACGTGAGATTTTATTAGTGATAGAGGTAGTACTGAAGTGTCAAAACGTCACAAGATTTATTTTCTATATTCAGATATCTTCGTGTGAAGAAAAAATCTATCTTGACATTCTAGTTCCTCCACATGAAGACCGATCATAGTTAAACATGTTCTATTTGTGATCAAAATGTGTCAGACTAAAGGACTAAACCTTACGTATGTTTTACTCGATAGCGAAACTTTCTACGACTACGTTATTTATATTTAAATATACATCTGTAGTGGCTGTTTTTCGAAAGAAAGAGTTTTCTAGAACCAGCTCATATGTCGATACGGATACGGGTGCCGTAGCTCAAACGTTGAGGAGTATCTAGTGACTATAAAGCCTATCTATGTTTGTAGGATTAAAATCGAATTAAACGTCCATGAATCAACAAACGAGGATCAAAAGACCACGCAAACAAAGGCCTTCTTTTACTAGTCATCATCATCGATCGAATGACAATAGTCTCAAGCAAGAAGCGACTGAACTGTTGGGATCGTTGCCTCGCTTGTTGAGTTTTGCTCTTTTGAATAACACAACTTTGCAACATTAGAAAATAATTCATTAAGCAAACTTGTTTTAAATTAGATTGATATTTTATACACACAATTATCCTTTTGTACTACGTCCTATTGGAAGTATAAAATATACGTTGCACTGCTTGGGTTGTGTGTCTTCAAATAGAAAACTAGTGAAGTAAATTTCGTCATCTGTTAATAAAAAATAAATGTTGTAATCTTTGCACAAAGTAAAATAGTAAAAATGATTGCTATATATCTATTAAAATTAACTAGTGGGTTTTACTGCGCTATCTAAGGTGAGATAAAGAATGAAATTCTTTAACTACTACTATTAGTACAATGAAGATACACAAAAGTCATTTAGAACCATGAAAATATCGGAATATGGCTTTTCTGCATATACGTCGAATAACTGACAAGATACGAGATTTTTCTTTAAAATACTTCAAATTAGAGGTAAAAATAAGACATTATTTATAGTCTCTATTAAACACAATTTAAAAGCCGTGCGCAGTGATTTTGATAGCGCCTATTATAAGAGTGTGGGAGCGGGTGAAGATCGGATCTATATTCACATCCATTTGAACCATATTTTAAAAATGTGTTTGACTGTTGCTGGACACATAAAATACGATACATGCAACACATTTTATTCTAGTATGTAACTTTCTGCGTGCATTCTCTATATTTTATTTCCCTTCCGATTTACTTTCCTTTTCTCCTACCAGCATACACATGAAAGCTTTTTTCATGCACATAACTATCCTCATACTTAACTAAATTTTCTCTTTTACTAATGTTCATGATAATAGAGGAGAAAGAAATATTTGACAAAAACGATGCAGAGATAACACTCACACTAAGCAAAATCAAATATTTATATCCAGAATGGAGCAAGATATCTTTTTTTCAACTGTGGTAGAGTGAGCAGGTTATTAGTTAGACAGATAGGTAGGTAGTCAGCTCCACTTCAAATTAAAAGTATGTTCTCTTCTCTTTTGTGAAACGCAGTGAATTACGATAACAGTTTTTTCTCTATATTGCATTCGTTGAGTATCAACTTAATATTCATTACCAGAATGTTTTGCGCACTTTATTTTGGTATAACGCGTGAATTATGACGATTTGCTTCAATGAAGAAAATCCGTCTTTCAATACCATTGATTATTACCACAAATGACTAACTTTGAAGATTTCTTCTTGACTTTATTATTTCTGCTAAGATTTGATAATTTTCTTACTGCTTTTTCATCTACTAAACCATTTTCGCTTTCGACTCAACAACCGATCGACGACACAGAGTTAAATCATTAGCGAAACTTACACGAAAACTTTGAATGTTTTAAGATGCTATTCGCGGTTCTCGATTGTGAGTCAGAAATGCTTATAATAGTAAGTAGATCTCAAAAAGACTAAGAATGGTAACGCATAATCTGTCGAAATTTTCACCTCATGTAAGAAGTGATCGCTTTCATGTTGCGTTTTTGTTTTGGATGGCAATCCAGAACGGCGATTAGCACCCAAACACGGTCAAGATATCTACATCCTATAAGCAGATATTGATCGTGCAATGATGACATTTTTATCCAACGTTTTTTTAATACACTCTTTCTTTCAGAAAACCAAAACTTGTGACAGATAATCGAACGATGATTGTATATTTCATTTCGAGAAAAAAATTGTGATAAACACGCTAATTAATCTCATATACTAAAAATGTACATAGTTTGTTGTTATTCTGAAAACTTTCAAGATTTAAAGGAAAAATGAAGAAATCGTTTAATTTTCAACGAAATGTTAAATCTTAGCGTCTTTTAAAGAGGAAATCAACTGAATGAATCAGTGAAACATAAATAGAGTGTTGAAATAATTCAACATAATGCTGTTGGTTATGAAGTGTGTGTTTATTGATTCCTATTTTCAACATATATAAAATTGAAAAAGATTATTTCGTATTTTTGGGGCGACTATCTAATTTCGACTAGAAAATTTCATTGGGAGTATCAGAGTGCGGTTCGACCAATCATGGTCTAGTTCCATACCAGAAAAATGACGATTTTTACCTGGTCGTTCTTTATGGATAATTCCCCATCGTATATATATACATGAATCCTGTGACTCTTTTCTTTCTATTGCAAATCACATGTTCTTCTAAGTAAATCTTCACGTGCAACAAGAAGGTCATGAATTTCATTGAATTGCTTTTTCTTTCTTTTTCATGACGATGGTGTGCTTTGCTTTTTTTTCTCGATTTGAAGTGATTTATTTATTCTTCGTTTTGCAGAAAAGAAAGAAATAAAAAATACATACTTCCAACTTTTGAATGAATAATCGAAAAGACATACATTCGATGCAAGTTACATTGTAATCAACCATAAAAAAGATGGCTACTATTGTCGATAATTCTTCAACCGAAATTAATGTAGTTATTATTGGAGAGACAGGCACGGGTAAAAATTAAATTTCTTAAATAATTTTTACATAGAAAAAAAGAAAAAAAAGCGTATTTTATTATTTATAGGTAAATCAACTTTAATTAATTATTTAACAAATTTATTTTATGATGGTTCATTAACAAATCTTAAAATAGCTATACCAACACGTTACTTAAAATCTAATATGTCTTCAATAATGTCTGAGCATCATGAAAATTTTTTAGATGATATTACACGTTGTAAAACAAGTCAATGTACAAAATATCAATTTAAAATTCAACAAGTTTATTTTAATTTCTTTGATACACCTGGTATTAATGATACAGGTGGTTATTTAGTTGATAATGAAAATCTTAATAAAATATTTGAATGTATACAATCATTTGAATATCTTACAGCATTAGTACTTGTTTTAAATGGTACACAAGCACGTTTAACAATTAATATAAAAAATGTTCTTGAACGATTTCATGATCGTGTACCTGATATATTTTATTCAAATATAATTCTTATTTTAACTAATTGTACTTCACATACAGTTAATTTTGAATCAATTAAATTTTTAAATCATCCACCAATGTTTTATATGCAAAATTCAGCATTTTCATCTGATCCTCAAACATGGTCAGAACAAACTCTTGAAATTTTACGTCATGATTGGAATATATCGATACGAACAATGAATGATTTTATTAAAACTTTAGTATTATTAACACCTATTTCAACGAAATCTTTATTAGATATAAATAATGATCGAAATATTATTCGAAGTGTCTTACATGAAAGTCGTCTTATCATTATGGAATTACAACAAATTGAAGATGAATTATTTGCACTTGAACAAGCATCAAATATTTATTCAGAAAATATTGAAAAATATACAATAGAGAATGACACACAACCACAAACTATTCTCGTAAATATTCAGAAGAAAATTATTTGAATGTAGAAATAGTTGAGATCATGAATAGTTTTGGTTGAATAGTTAAGGAGTAGTGGGAAAATTTCTGGACAATATGTTCCTTCATTTGTCCGACCAATTATGAAATTTAACAGAAAGTTTTAAGGCATTGTGTTAGAATCCAAAGAAGCAGCTGTCAGTGACTTGCACACAGGTCTGAACACAGTACTCATTGGATACGTGTACAACAACGTACCCATTCAGTCATGCTGACTTAAGTTAGGCATTATATGCAAATTAAGTTTGGACGTGTTTCAGTGAGTAAAAAAGTCATCCATGGTCGGAGTAAAATTTATTACAAATACATTAAAAGAAAGAGTAAACGTTTCTGAACAAAATGATAATAACTTAATCATTGATGTCTCCGAAGCTTCTTGATTTTCGGACTTACAAAATCAGCTCGATTATTTCTGAAAGATTACTGCAATAGTTTTAGTTCTTAGCTCATCTCATAGAAGACTATCTCGCACTGTATA